GTAGGTAAGCACTGTCTAGCATGCACATAGCGAAATTGATAAGACGCTGATATCTTTTTGTAATGTTCTAAGTTTGCTATGTACATGTTTTATAAAGAAATGCATGTATTAGGTGTAAAATGAAATTGGGAAAAGAAAATCATTTTCGCTATGTGCATTTTTCGCTTTGTGTATGTTCGTTGTGCGTTGCGTGTGATCGCTATGTGCGTGCTAGACTGTAAATTAACAGAGAAGAAAGTACAGTGACAATATAATATGTTGCACAATATGTTGCGGTGGGAGCTTTTGAAAAAAATGGAAATGTTTTACGTTCCGATGGACATAATTTAAATTATTTGAGGACCTAGTCTGTCTGGGTCAAACCAGGGCGAATGGATACAACATCCCAGCAGTCAGACGGAGACATTCGATAAAAACGTCCCCACTAAGGGGCCCTTTACACGTGCAGTTCCTTCATCAACAAATTGTAGGAGTATATCGAAAGAGTGGCGGGGATCCTGTCAACTTTCCGGTAAAACTGAGCATGAAAACGAGCAATCCTCTCGATATCGAAGATTCTCAGTCCAGCCACCAGATATCTGGCCGGGCGACCTGAAGGCATGATGACGAGGGACGGACTTCTTTGATGTTGCACAAGGTGGAGTTGAAAGTGCGTTCCAAACTATTCCTAAATAATGGAAAAATGTTTTAAAATAATAAGAATTCCGTGACCAGCCACCCAAAATTAGTAAAAATCACGCCAGGAACGCAATTTAATATCGCATTACCAAGTTAAACTCTTTTATAGGGTGACTGAAACTTTAAAGGATAAAAAAAGCTGTATGTTAAAACGACCTTCTCTTGTCGACAAACGGTCAGTTCAACGATGACCCAGATCTAGCGTCTGTCGGTTAAACTGTCAGTTTATCGATGAATGGACTGCACGTGTAATGGGGCCTTAAGGAATCAACACTCAGGTCTTCTGCGTGCAATGGCCGAGAGCTTAAGCATACGCCACACACTCTGGTGGTCAGGGACTGAGAAGGACGCAAACCATGTTTTATGTGTGTGTGTGTGTGTGTGTGTGTGTATGTGTGTGTGTGTGTGTGTGTGTGTGTGTGTGTGTGTGTGTGTGTGTATGTGTTATAATGAACAGCGCGTTTTCGCTACAGCAAGAGGCCCCTCTTGTGTATTCCTGTTTCTCTTTCCTGCGTGATTTCTGCCAGCCGTTGTCTGGCTTCTTGATCGCAGTCATAAATTTTGTCAACTAGCTACTCCCTGTCCCTGGGAAGTTAAACTGCTTTATCTGCGATTATTTACGGCGAAACGTGCTTGATCATTACCAATGTATGTTAGCAGCAGCGTATAGATGGTTGGCGGGTGCTCTAGTGTGGTTTACTTCTTCTTTCTCATCAAACATTTATCGTTCCTAATCATTCTTATCTCTCCTCCTTCTTTTTTGTATTTGTTACTTTCTTGTAACACCTCCAATCGGCAGCAATATATGACCTACTTGTATTGCAAGTGCCTTAAAACTCTTACTAGAACAATAAAACTAAAGTCTCCCCTCAGTGACTCCACGTCTTAGATAGACCGGAAAGATGTGTTTAATTAAGGAGATGTCGGTCCCCAGTATCAGCGTCTTGAATTCCTCAACTTGCCGCGTGGCAAAATGACTTTTAGTCTCAGGAATCCTGAGTATCGGATTCGAGATCGAGGGACTGTTTTGGCTTTTTTGCATTCATCGGGTCTTGCTCCATCTCTTGGCTCTTAGTACAGTTGTTTTGGATAACCTTTTTGTTGTTGTTGAACACCCCTTTCTATCCCTGTGGGTGCTGTGGTGTGGTTTGCTTCTTCTTCCCAACTAAACATCTATTGTACTCATCTTTTCTTCTTTTGTTTGTATGTTACTACTTCGTAACAGCTTATCCGACCTTTGGCACTTATGTGACCTATTTTGGTTGTGAGTGGCGTAAAACTGTCACTTAAAAATTAATCTGGCCACCGCTTTTTAAAATCGACGAGGGTGTCCTGGGGTGGGAAGACGGGTAAGTTGGATGGGAGGGGGAAGGGGAGAGAGGAGATCTATTAAAGAAACATTTGCCGAAATGATCCAACTGTTAGAAGACCGAAGACGACGCATACTCTTCTTTTTCTTTTTTTTTCCAAGTGGCTAATCGTTTTTTAATTGTTGAGAGAAGGACAGGTCGAGAGAGAGATAGATAGATAGATAGATAGATAGATAGAGAGAGAGAGAGAGAGAGAGAGAGAGAGAGAGAGAGAGAGGGAGAGAGAGAGAGAGAAATTTTCGAAAGAGAGGGAGCCGAGAGGGGTAGGGACAGACCCACATAGAGTTAGGAGGAATTAAAACGGGGCCACTTATTGTAGAGAATTTGA